GAATCTGACATAACTTTCTTATGTACATATATGGATACACAACCAGTGTAATGCCATATTATGTACAACTACAAGAATGGGAAGTTATACTCCATGTATGTATGATAGGCCAAAATACATTCTACTGTCATGTATATCTAAGAAGAAATCAAATAATAGAAAGGAAGGAAGAAAGAAAATACAAAAAGTGCTGGGAATGTGGCTCAGTGGTTAAGCACCCCTAAGTTAAGTCCCTAGTACCAAAAAAGAAAAAAGAAAAAAAAAAAACTAGTTTCAATAATAGAGAAAGCATGATGGCACATGCCTGTAATTCCAGCAACTTGGGAATCTGAGGCAGGAGGAGCATAAATTCAAGGCCAGTCTGAGCAACATATCAAGAACCTGTCTCAAAATTTAACAAAAAAGGGGCTGAGGTGCCTCAGCAGTAGAGTACTCACTTAGCACGTGTGAGGCACGGAATTGGATCCTCAGCACCACATAAGAACAAATAAATAAAATAAAGTTATTGTGTCCAACTACAACTAAAAAAAATTAACAAAAAAAATTTAAAGGGCTGGGGAAAAATGACAAATTTAATTTTTAGCAAAATTATTTTGCTAATACTTTGCTAATACCACTTCTCTGCTCCCCCTCTCCATTTCTGATACCATTTCTTGAATTTTGATCTTTAAAGTTTAGCATGTGCTACGGTTAGAATGTTCAGGGTCCCCCAAAAGTTCATATCTAAAGGTTTGGTCTATAGGGTGGCCACACTGGGAGGCTCTGTGGACCCTGGGGTCTGTCTGTCTCTGCATGATGGTTCAAAAGGTAATTAAGTGCTTGCTCCCAAGTACTCCTGCCATTGTCATTCACCATGTGCCATAAGTATCAAGGGTGAGCCTTTACTAAGCCTTTCACTGTTTGGGCTTGGAACTTTCAAAACTGTGAACTAAATAAACATTTGTTATAAGTTAGCTGCCTCAGGGACTATGTGGCAGTAACACTTACTTACTAATATAATGTGCAACAAAATCACAGTAGTTTGTTACACCATAGACTTGCTGGGTTCTACCACTAGTTTCAGATTCAGTAAGTCCAGGGCAGACTCAGGAATCTGCATTTCTAATCCATTCTCAGATAATACGGGTCCAGAACACACACTTTGAGAATCACTGACCTAGCACAACACAAATATTAGCAAGATCTTGAGACTTGCTCACACATGGTACAGGCAATACTGCCTTGATTAGCTTTCCCTTGCATCTTTACCTAATAACTTTGAAAACCTGTCCCTACATACCTTCTCCCTCCCTCAAACTACTGACTCTGACATTTTAAAAGCCTCTAATGACTTCCTAGTTGCCCAAACCACTGGAGTCTTCATCTCCATTTTTATCAACCTTTCTATAACACTTTGTTTTAGCAACCTGTTTGGTTCCTAATTCTGTCCTGTATTGGCCTCCATGGTTCATCTTTTATCTAATCATATTCTCAGTGTCTTTTATGGGAGCTTCTCAAAACTTGGTGGGATTTTTTTTGTTTGTTTTTGTTTTTTGGGTTTGTGTGTGTGTGTGTGTGTTGTCGTTATTGTTGTTTTTAAAACTTCTGAGGATGAAAAATTATTACCATAGTTCTTAAGCAAGGAAAGACCCTTTCCTGAATTACAAGCTGAGATGTACACCAAAGAATGAGAACATTTTTCAAAGTCTTTGGATTAGGGATCGTGCTTACTGCTCTTCTGATATGTAGGCTTCCTTCTAGAGTAACAGAAAATCTTTTTCCTTAGTATCCTAAATAAAACAAAAGTACAGTATAAATAGATTTCAGTATCAGCCCACAATTTCTGTACCAGGGAAGGTAATAAAATGATTGACTACCCCTTGCATAGGCACAGGAATGAAGAGGTCACAGAACTCATCTAGAAAATGTATCACACCGGAATTGACAGGGAAAAGCACATGAAATTTTTTGACCAGTCTCTGTATCTTGTGCTGTAAAATTTCTATAGCAATGCAATGTAAAAGAGTGAGAAAAGGAGCTGGGCACAATGGCTCACACCTGTAATCCTAGCAACTCAGAAGCTAAGAAAGGAGAATCACAAGTTTAAGGCCAGACTCAGCAACTTAGCGAGACCTGTTTCAAAAAAAAAAATTTTTTTTAATGGGGTGGGGGGCTAGGAATATAGTTCAGTGGTAAAGAAATGGTCAGGCCCGATAAAGGAGATGGTCCCAAGTTTGACAAACTTCCTATATTCCCCTTAGCATCCCTCCTCCTGGCACAGCCTTCCCATGAGTGTTCCCCACATTTCTACCCAGATTAACTCTCAAAGTTCATCTTTATGGGAATTACTTTAAAATATTAGACTTTGTCCTCACTTTTAGCCAGGTCATCTCCATTAGAAATTTTCAGCAATTACACCTCAAATCACCTCAAGCTAATGTGTGAATCGCCTAACTTTAATGTGCCCTCCATCACTACATTTTATGATTGCATCTAGCCTTTAACACCCCCTTTGTTCCAAAGGGCTCTCTGTCCTGTCAATCTTCATCTGTCACTGGCAGTTATAACTCTTTACCTCAGAACTTCAGGGTCACTGCTGAGTCCTCCCTCACTCACCAAGTCCCAAAGAATGGATGAGACCCAAAGATGAGCACCTTAATGCACTCTTTATATCTTTCATCAGTTTAGTGCTATGAACAAAGCATTCACTCAAAAAGGAAGTAATCTAAGAAGTATTTTTCTAATTATGGTTCCTGATTCCAGCCTCCCCTCTCCATCCCCAAAATCACTAACTTTATTTAACCCTACATTATTCTCCCCAAAACTATTCCAACAGCCTACTATTTAGTTACCTTTTCACCAATCTTGCCCCATTTCAACCCATACTCCATACAGTCAGCAGTTTCTTTCCTAAAAGTAATGTCACTCCTCAACTTAAAAAAAAAAAAAAAAAAACATAACTCAAAAGATAAAGACTACAGTGGGTGCGGTACAACATGCCTGTAATCCCAGCTATTTGGGAGGCTGAGGCAGGAGGGGTGGAATATGGAGGCCAGCCTGGGCAATTTAGACTCTGTCTCAAAATAAAATAAAATGGCCCAGAGATACAGCTCAGTTGTAGGGCACCCTGAATTCAATCCTGGAGATTAAAAAAAAAAAAAAGATAATGTTCACACTTATTATTTGATATCCACAACTCATGATCCAGTCCAAATTGCTTACCTCTCCAACCTCATTTCACCACTCTGCCATTTATCTTATAGAGTCTGGAAAGCTACTACCTCCTTCCACCTTCCCTACTCCCTAATCTAAATAACTTTTAGCCTTACTCCAGGAGGACTGCCTTGGTGCTCCCTTTGAACTAGCACTTGTTATACTGTATCATAATTATGTACTATGTTTGAACTTTCTCTTAAAGGTGACCCCTATAGCTAGAACCCTGCCTCACTCAATGGACCCTGGCATAATGCTCACAGGTAGTCCATTAAGTATCTGTTAAACACATTTGTATTACTAAAAGAATAAAATCTTTCAAAGTTTTTTAATTACTTTAGGAGGCTATAAAATTATTTGATCAATGTAGTAACTGCTCAAAACATTTTGGCAACTCCTCTTTTGCCATTTGGAATTGCTTTCTGAGCTTGTTTACTCTCCAAAAAAGAAAATCAGTCCCTTTATACCCACAAAACATTTTCAACCAAATATAGTAGAGGCAACTTTGAGCACTGCCATCCTCCACCCTACCCCCCCTTCATTGTATGGATTGGCTCCAAACTTTTGGTCCTTTCAAACAAGGAAATTCTCCTTCAAAGGATGAAAACTTGCCTTCACTGACACTGTGTCACAGGATCTTAAGATGATTTCAAATGGTAATGCAAGAAAGTTTTGCAGTTGGAATATGTGTAGTGCCTCAAAGGGCTCCTATTTGATGGTGAAGACTTAAGTGTTTATGTTTAGATACGGGTTTTATTTTTCAAAAATATTTCCTTTCACCTTGCTGAATATCTGTTGAATGAAATCCTAAGGGGGGAGGGGGTGAGGGGAATGGTGCATCTCAATTTCTCCAAACTGTAAAAAGGAGGCTAAGTCTTCCCATTGACTCCATGAATGCCAAGATCACTGAAAATTCAGCTTAATGACTGCTGAATCAATTTCCAAAGATCAAAGCACTTTAATAACTTCATTAAAATATTAAGGCAGAAACACCCTACCCAGAAACTGCACCACCCTTGTCCAAGGAAGGAGTTCCACCATTTAAGACTGATGCTGTAAACACGACAAAGGAGCAGGTCCCTATTTTGCTTAATTCAACATGTATGGAGCAACTGCTGGTTGTTCTGTCCTATTCCTGGTGAATGAGAGGAGAGGAGAGAGGGAGGGAGGGAAGGAGAGGGAAAGTGAGCAGAGAGGGAGAGAGGGGGAGAGGGCACAGCCCTAGTACTCAAGCTGCAAGCTGTCAAAATCATTCCAGACAACATCTTGCGAGAGCACTGAATACATTCATAGCCATCCATCTCTAGTGAGGCAGTTTACACGAATGACACTATTTACCCTCCCAAATCGATTTAGGGGCAGAAATGGCTCTTAATCATCCCTAAAGGAAGGGAAGAACAACGGTAGATCTTCCCCATCACTTGGTATGGAAAAAGTGAGGAAGCAGCTAGGGAAGGGGTGGTCCAAACCTTTCTCTTCCCCTCAGGGCCAGCACCAGAGGCAGAAGCCTGGATTTCTGACATCCCAGTGCCAAGCCCTCTAGTTCAGTAAGAAGGAACAATCAAACTCCAGCTCATTTCTGCAGAGACGCACACAGACCCAGCCACCGCCCGGCCCCATCTCGTGGGAGCTGCAGGTAGAGGCAAGGTAATGGTGGACAGAGAAGGTGGAGGGGAGGGGCGGGGAGGGGCGGGGAGGGGCGCGCTCGCGTCCCCCTCAGCGGTCCCCCTCCGTCCCGACAAGTCGCTGCCAAGGCAACCCAAAGCCGCAGGGCCAGGGACCCCTTACTCCCCGCCCACGATGGGTACCTTCGAGTACTCCTGAGCCAGCTTCTGGTACTTCCCCTGCAACTCTGCCGAGGCCATGGCCTCCCCCGCCCCGTCCAGGCCAGGCTGTCCAGGCCGCTCAGTCCCGCCCCCCGCCCCCAACCCCAGACCCGCTCCAGGGCACGGCTCAGCCAGCGTCTGCTGCTCGGCCACTGCCGCCGCGCCTCCTCCTCCGCTTCCGGGTTCTCGGGGAGGGAGGAAGGCGGAGTGGGACCGGGGGCGGAGCGACCACCGGGGGCGTGTCGACGTCTCGACGTCACCACCCCACCCTTACGCCCCCGAGCACGTGCGCGCGCCGCCTCGCTGGCGCGCTGGGATTCTGCCTCTGAGAGCAGAGGGCGCCATCTTGGACCACGCGACAAGATGGCGACCCGGAACGGAGACGGGGCGTATCGAGAAGGGAAGCGACTGATGAGTGTACAGAGTGGGCGGGGGACGGAGAAGTGAGACCGTGGTTGCGAAGAGCAGAGGACCGGAAGAAGAAACATTCTAAGAACATCAAGAATTCTAACCTACTCCGTGCCTCCCAGTTCCTATGGCAACCGACTGGCATTTGATGGTTACCTTGTTCGCAAGGAGCGTGGAGAAAAAGACCTCTGTATTCTGCTATCTGGTTATCCGGAGATGGCAGCACGGGACATGCCCTGCACTGTGACCTCTCAGACCTACCCCAAACGTATAACGCTTGCTGCTGCCACTTTCTCTTGCTTCAGACCAGACAAACCCTTACTGTCTTTTTTGTATTTTGATACTGAAATTTCTTTGTGTATGTTCTCTACCCAAGCCCCACCGCCCGCCCACCCCTGTCCCCGGAAGCACACGTTAGTCTTTTTCAGTGAATTGAGTAAAAGGCCGTTAGGAAATTGCAGATGTTTTCTGCCAAGCATGCAGATAGAGTGGAGTTAACAGTAAAAAAAAAAAAAAAAGGAAACAAAAACTAGTCTGCCTGGGATATTTTATGACACTTTTGCTTGAATTACAAACTGCATCCACTCATTCCTTTTAATGTTTTTTAGAATTTTAGTAGGCATTGCATTTCATTGCAACATTGAAATTTTCATCAATAGAGAAATGGATAAATAGATATAGGCTACATATTTGCCATGAATTACAATATGGATATTAAAACTAATGACTAGATTTGTGTGTGTCTGCATTTGTTTGTATCAACAAGGCAAAAGGGCATGTTAAATATAAAAAGAAATTGCATCATACTATAGTATAGGTACACTTTTTAAATAAGTAACATTTGTATTGTTTGTGGACACACAAACATGTACTAAAAATACAGAAACAAGAACTGAAAGGGATACATCAAATTCTGGATACTGGTTGCCTCTAATGAGAAACAGGGTGAGGAAACTGGGAAGAAAGGAATGTAAACTTTACTACGGGGTGTGTGTATTTTGTGTGTGTATTGGTTACTGGGCATTGAACCCAGGGGTGCTTTACCATTGCACTACATCCCCAGTTTTTATTGTTGTTGTTTGTTGTTTGTTTTACACAAGGTTTTGCCAAATTGCCAAACCTGGCCCCAGACTTGTGATCCTCCTGCTTAGTATCCTGAGTTGCTTGGATTGTGCCACCACATCCAGCCTAAACTTCATTTTTATTTCCATAATTTTTAAAGTAAATATGATAGGGTTGACATTTATTATCTAAATAATAGTATAGAGATGTTATATTAGCACTTTAGAATGCTTGAAATTTTTCATGATTAAAAAACTGTTATATGAAAAAATGTTAGACATTAGCAATTAGGGAAATACAAATCAAGAACACATTGAGATTTCATCTCACTCCAGTTAGAGTGGCAGCCATCAAGAATACAAACAACAATAAATGCTAGCAAGGATGTGGGGGAAAAAAGAACACTTTTACATTGTGGGTGAGATTTTAAATTAATACAACCAGTATGTAAATTAGTATGAAGGTTTCTCAAAAGACTAGGAATGGAACCACCATATGACCCAGCTATACCTCTCCTTGGTATTTATCCTAAGGAATTAGAAAAGTCATCATACTGTAGTGATACATGCATACCTATGTTTATAGCAACACAGTTCACAATAGCCAAACTATCGAACCAGCCTAGGTGTCTTGTCAATAAGTGAATGGATAAAGAAAATGTGATATATACAATGAAATTTAATCCAGTCATGGTAAGAATGAAATTATGTCATTTGCAGGAAAATGGTTGGAACTTGAGAACATTAAGTGAAATAAGTCAAACTCAGAGAGTGAAAGGTTGTATGTTTTCTCTCATATGGGAAGCTAGAGAGGAAAAAGGAAAAGAAAGGTGTGAGGCTAGGGAGAATGTCATGAAAATCAAAGGGAGATCAGTAGAGTATAAGAAAGGGACCAGGGAAAGGGAGGATAGGAGGAAAAGGGAAAATATAGAGGGATGATATTGGCCAAATTGTATTGTTATATTGTATGCATGTATGAATATGTAACAGTGAATCCTACCATTATGTATAACTATACTGCACCAATAAAAAATATACAAGACGGAGGGGAGGGGAGGGGAGGGGGTATGGGGGCAGGAAAGATGGTGGAATGAGGTGGACATCATTACCCTAGGTAACATGTATGACTGCACATATGGTGCGATGCTACATTGTGTACAACCAGTGAAATGAAAAGTTGTGCTGTGATTGTGTACAATGAATCAAAATGCATTCTGCTGTCTTATATACCTAATTAAAATAAATAACTTTTTTAAAATATGGAAGAGAAAGAAAAAAAAAAAACCTATGTTATCTTGGTGTACTTTGGCTGTAAGCCAGGAATTTTATAGTGAAGGATTAAGGCTATATCCGTTGTAATGTGTAAGAGGATTATAGACTTTGAAATGTTTATAAGTCTTTTTCAAAACGTTAATAATTTTCAATTTGCTAATAATCAAGTCCTACTATCCAAACTTTCAGAACAGTAGTTTTTAAAATTGTTAGTTTTCTGTGGCACCACCAAGTGGCAGAATTAAATATTGTGAATTTCCATTGGTTATAAAAGAATGAAAAAAAAAATTTTAAATAACGTTCCAAAGAAAGAATGTGCAAGTTTAGCCAGAGAGCCTGTGTAATCTTGCTAAATTTAGAAATTTCTTTTCCACTGACTAATCTAGTTGTCCTGTCAGATGTATTATTGTAAAATCCCAAATGATAAGTCCAAATACATTAAAATTAAGAATCTCTTTCTCAAAAGACCTCACTAAGTGAAAAAAATATAAAACCAAAGAATGAAAACAGATATTTGCAATATACATATCCAACAGAGGTCTCTTTATCCAAATATATAAAGAGTGCTTACAAATCAATAAAGGAAAAGACAAGCAACAAAAGAGGAAAATAGCTAAGAGACTTCAACAGGATTTTCACAAAGGAAGATATACAAATGACCAATATACATGCAAAAGTATGTTCTTTCTGTTAGTAATCAGGAGGAAGTGAAGTTAAAACCACAGTGAGATACCACTGCATACACATACAAACGGCTAAAATGAAAAAGACTGAAAAGAGTAAGAATACAAGAAAGAAACTTGCATAAAATGCTGGTAAAAATGTAAATTGGAACAGTAGTTTAGGGAAAAAATTTGGCATTATCTCATTTGAAAAGATACATATAGTTCATATTACCTAGCAGTTCCAACCAGAAAAAAAAATGTGTGTATGTATTATTCATCAAGAATACTTGTAACAGCCAGGCGCGGTGGAGCATGCTTATAATCCCAGTGGTTCAGGAGGCTGAGGCAGGAGGATCACGAGTTCAAAGCCAGCCTAAGCAACTTAGCGAGATCCTGTCTCTAAATGAAATATAAAAAGGGCTGGGGATATGGCTCAGGGATTGAGTTCCCATGGGTTCAATCCCCAGTATAAAATAAATATAATAATAATAATAATAATAATAATAATAATAATAATATTCATAACAGTATTACCCATAAATAACCAAAACCATCCAAACAGACTCTCCAAATGTCTTATCAACAGAATGGATAGGTAAATGATTGTACATTCATATTATGGAATGTTGAAAGCACTGAAAAAAGAGTTACTTATAGTAGATTTTTCATAAATCTCAAAAAAAAAAAAAATCCAAGGGTAAAAGAAGCCAGATCTGAGAAAACAATTATACTGTCTGATTTGATTTTTATAATGTTCAGAAATTGATAGAATTTAATCAAAGGTCCAGGGATGCATGGTTGGTGGTAAAACTAAAACAGTAAGGAAGTGATAACCAAAAAAGGAATGTGATTACTTTCATGGGGGAGAGAATGGAAACTCTAAGGAGGCGGGTGTAAGATGGGCATTAGCAATGCCCTATCCCTTGCTTCTGTGGTGCTACTGAAAAACCAGCCTCTACCTCAGAGCAAAGCCTGTCCAAGGAAGGGACATGACCTTTGTCCTTGAAAAGACCCACAGAACACTCCAAGGCACATTCCCACCCTGCTAAGTGGTTTATCTACAAATAACAGGAGAGATCTGCTGCACCAGGTGTCCCTGACTCAGTCAGGCTAGGTGGGGATCCATAGCAACCCGCTAGCAGCCACCAATCAGCATGAGACAGGGAAATACCTGGGATGCCAGATGACCCTCCCAGTAGTTTACGGTGTTGGGAAACCATGTAGTTCAGCATGTACACCCCTTTTGGCTTAAACCAATCTGTTCAAATGAATCCCCCTCTTGTAGTAACCAATCACCCCTACCCAACTTGTTCCCGCCAGTGAATGTGCTAATCATGTTTTAGAGTTGTTATTTGATTTTCCCGCTGTGTGTGATGATTTGCTAAGAGATGCTATGATATATGTGGGGGTCCCTGCCTTCTCCAAAGAATGTATAAAACTGCTGCAAACCCTGGGCTCAGGGCCTCTCAGCGTCACCAGTTGCTGTGTGTGCGCGCGGAGGACCGAGCTAACTCTCAATAAACACCTCTTTGCTGTTTACATGGATCTTGGTCTCTGGTGGTCTTTTGGGGGGTCCCAAATTCGAGCGTAACACTACATGGTTGTTGGCTTCAGCTAATCCCTTATGAAGTGTATTTCTGTTTCATGTGCTTTATTGTATGGGTATTACAAACATGAT